CCTAAAACTGGTCTCTTCAGATTACCACATTTACTCGCATTTCCCATATTGGCTCCTAATATCTTGAGACAATGCCAGAAAAAGATTACCAAGAGTTTTTTGATAGACTAAATGGTTTTTGAATAATGCATCAATGAAATTGGTGGCATAGTTTAGATGTGAATATTGTAATACAGTAACATGAAATCCCCAAATACAAATATCAAAGAAAAAAAACATTAATGAAAAGAAATATAGTACATTAATTTTATAAAAATAAAATTATTATACAATTATGGTCTCCAGTCTGTGTTGACCACAAATAATACAAGTGTACCTACTAAAGGAACAATACCAAGGGGTTAATAAATGTTTAAAAAATTTAATTTAATTTAATACAAAATTTAATTTCAGCACAAATGTTTGCATGCCAAGTAGAAATCTCACTTACTAACCAGTTGAAAGTGCTGCTAACCAGTCCTGGGTTGTGGTCCGCATAACTGTATATTACAGCACAAGCATTTTTGATTGGCTGTGATTTGCATTCAAAACATTTGGAATTTCATTGTGGACAAACTAATTACTTGTCACTGGAAAATGTATTGGGTTGTGCCTGGTTAGTAGGGCTGCACAATAAATCGAAATGAAATCGAAATCGCTATTAGACAGAAGCTGCGATTGTCATGCATATCTTTCAGTGAAGCACGGTACTGTGATCAGTAGTAAATCTCCATCCGAAGGCCAGAGGGCGCTCTCGTGCGGAAACTCCAAATATGCCCCGCAGAAGAAACCCAAGAAATGCCTATAGCGGTTGCTGAATAAACAGACAATTTAAATGCTTATATTGATTCAACGTGACTAATAAACACACCACTACGGCAATTTATGGTTTATCTGAGTTCTTATTATAATTTTCATTATAATAAAGTATATCTATAATGCAATGTTAATCAACAGCCTTTATCACTGCTTAGAATACTATGAAATATGTTGCATGCCTTATTCTGTGTAAGAAGCCACATCATCTCACAGAAGGATTTATTTCAAACACTCGACTGATGTTAAGAAGTGAGTTTGGAGTAAAACCATTTTATTAAATGTGGTATTTTCACATGCTTTCAGATGGAGCAGCATTTACTACACAGAGCCGTAGTTCCCTGAGAAACTACGCAAACAGCTGTCATTATCGCGAACGATTTCTTCGATTTCATAATCGTACGATTATATCGTCTGCGATTTTTTTTGTGTAGCTTGTCAGTGAACTACGGCTCTGTGTAGTAAATGCTGCTCCATCTGAAAGCAGGTGATGGAGATTTACTACTAAACACAGAAGCGTCTTTACTGACAAGATGTGCATGACAATCGCATTTGATTAATTGTGCAGCCCTACTGGTTAGGACAAGATATTCGTCTAGTCTTAACTGGAAAGAGGTTGACCAGAGGTTTGAAATGATGATACTGTAATTCTCAACACTTATCTTTCTGCAGCACTCTGAAAACTATGGGCAGCGGGACTCATGGGAGATGTGGCACCCCACCTTGGTGGGCGAGGCCTTGTTCGCCATTGCTAACATATTTAGCTCCCTACGACTGATTTCACTCTTCACAGCCAACTCGCACCTTGGCCCCCTTCAGATCTCTCTCGGCCGAATGCTGCTGGACATCCTCAAATTCCTCTTCATTTACTGCCTGGTGCTACTCGCATTTGCAAATGGACTCAATCAACTGTATTTCTATTATGAAACTGATGGCGTAGAAATTACTAACAATGTCACATGCAAGGGTATCCGCTGCCCAGTGCAGAACAATGCATTCACCACGTAGGCAATCTCATATCTATAGATTTGATCTTAATTTAGCTTGTTTTGCAGTAAAATAGTGATATTATGTTTTTGGATTTTTTTTTTCCAGCATGTTTGAGACATTGCAGTCATTGTTCTGGTCTATATTTGGTCTTGTTAGCCTGTATGTGACCAATGTTGACGCCAAACACGAATTCACTGAATTTGTTGGAGCCACAATGTTTGGGACCTACAGCATCATCTCTCTGGTGGTGCTTCTTAATATGCTCATTGCTATGATGAATAATTCCTACCAACTTATTGCTGTAAGTGCTGTAAATTATTAGTTTTTTTGGGGGGCACAATTAGAAAATGATACATTTATTTATATATTTTATGTTTTTTTATATCACTTTTTGCCTTGTTAGTTAATTTTATGCCCCTTTGGTGTGACAAATGAATTAAAAAAATTCTTTCCGTTTACTGTTTAATTGGCATATTCAGCTCTTCTCTTTGGTTGTTCCACAGGACCATGCTGATATTGAGTGGAAGTTTGCCAGAACGAAACTTTGGATGAGCTACTTTGAGGAGGGCGGCACGCTGCCTACTCCCTTCAACATCATTCCAAGTCCAAAATCAGCATGGTACCTCATCAGATGGATCAAGACCCACTGCTTCAATATTAAACACAGAAAAAGAACAGAGACGTTTGGATCACTCGGGGTAATAAGCCATTTGCTCTCCTCTTCTGTTTATAATAAATATTCAAATTTGGGTTAGTTCACTTAAACAATTACAATTCTGTCATCAATTATTCACCCTCATGTTTCTGAAGTGCTTTTTCTTCAACAAAAGATGATTTTTATCGGAATGTTTATGCTGCTCATTTCCAGACAGATGGTGATTTATATTGTCAATATACAGAAAGCAAGCATCACCAACCCCATGTCTTGTGAAGTAATACGATTGCTCTGTATGACAAGTAATCTTCCAAATGTTCAAACGAGGCTAAATGATTCAGTGAACAAAATGATTGGAGCTGCTGAGGTTTTCACTGCCTTGTAATATAGCCAATTTTATAAGATTTCTTTTTGGATTTAATTTAATTTAATTTATTTAATATTTTATAACTATATTATTGTTGTAAGCCAAAACTTACAATTTCCATTTCAACATGTTCTAATATTTATATATTTATTCAGCTTATTATATTTAATTTATTATATAGCTTTATTTCATTTAACACCAATTATTTTCTGAGTTTTGGTTTATAATAAAAACACTGCTTATTACACAGCTACTTATCAAACAAAGAAAGAATTTATACATAATAAGTATATAAATAAATGAGTAAAATCTTAACTCCAAATGAATATTTATCTGTAAATATGTGTGTGTGTGTGTGTGTGTGTGTATATATATATATATATATATATATATATTAGTGCAACGATTAATCGTGATTAATCACATCCAAAATAAAAGTTTTTGTAATATGCGTGTGTACTGTGTATACTTATGTATATATAAAGACACACACATACAGTATACATTTTTAAAATATTTACATGTATATATATTTATATTCATATAATTTATATTATATATAAATATATTAAGTATATAAACATAACATATTTTTCCTAAATATATACATGCATATGTGTGTATTTATATATACATAATAAATATACACAGTACACACACATATATCATGTACAAAAAAACTTTTATTTTGGATGCGATTAATTATATTTGACTTTTCTTAAATTGTTTTACATCAACTGTACATTATAGTTTACTGAGCAATGTGTGGTTATTATAACCATAGGAACTTAAACAGGACATCTCAAGCTTCCGTTACGAGGTGATGGGAATGGTGAAGGGCACTAAGATTGGTGTGTCGAACTCAAAAGGGCACACAGGAGCTTCAAACCTAGTGTATCCTGATAACCCTCTAAAGTGCAATTCTACTTCAGCTGGAAGTCAACTAAAAGGCCAAATGAGACTGCAGAACGTCACCACCCCTGTGATCCAGGAGGTCGGACCCAAAACCAACTCCTGGAAGCCTGGCGGCTTAAGCGGCCTAGCGGATGGTTTCATCTCACAAAATATTGTAAGCAATCAAATGAACCGCAAAGGGCCAAACAACCCAGGAGAGATTTACTCTGTGTCAGAAGAAGCTGGTGAATCTGAAAGTGAAGAAAAGGATGATGACGAACAGGGAGAAAACGAGAACCAAAACAATAAAACAGAGAAGGACGGAATAAATGAGACTTTGCAAGAGGATGAAGAAATGTTATATATGCGTTATATGTGTGATGAAGAGATGAAGGAGGAAAACGAATCTGAAGGAAGCAGATTATAACAGCATTCACACTCTGAAAAAGTAACAATCAGATTCCGAATGCTGCAAGATAAAGAGAAAGATGCTGTTCTCCTGAACTCTCTCTTTATCCCAGAAGCAGCTGTGGCGAAGGTCCAGTGCAGGGCGCTGTGTCTGTATGATCTGAACATCAAGTGTTGTTCTGGAGGCTCAGGGATGATTGCCACTTTTAGGAGAATATGGGGTCCAACATTGTCATTCACAGTGATTTACACTCTCAACTGTGTAAATGCTCCTGTAGTTTATCGCTGCTCTGCTCCCCTTTCTGCTGAATCATATATGAAGGAGCAATAGCCGACCCCTTGCTATTCTAGACTTTTCATTCTGCCTTACTCTGTTAGATTTAGCATTTTATGCTATCTGTGGTTCCAACATTAAGAGATGTCATTACCGTCATGCAACCTAATATCTTTAATAAAGGTTACTATGCAAATATTGACAACTTTTTACCTTTTTAGTCACGTTTTGCATTGAGCAAGAGGCAGTTGTATAAAAGAAGGAACTGGATGAAGGGTGTATTTTTATAAACATGGATTAAAGTCCAAAGTAAACACTACATATCGTAAAGTCAGTATGGTACAATGTACTCATGTAATCATGTCTGTTTCCTCCTCCTCTCATTTGTATTCATCCTAAAGAACAAGGAGAACATGGTATTATAGAGTTTGCACAGTACATAGTCCTTTATGCTTCTAAATGTCTTATTCCATCTATCCTTGTTGTTTCCATAACATATTATTGCCTCTTATTGCAGATCATGAATTAATGCACAAATATAAATAAATAAATATATGCTGTACTATGACTCAGTATTATTTGTGAGTATTATTGTGAGTGACTCAGTATATATTTTCATAACCTGAGGGAAAAAAGAAAACCTCACACTGCATTCAAACAGCACAGTGAGAGAGAACTTAAAGCAATAAACGTTATATTAGATTTAAAGTAAATTCTGTTGTGATTCATCTGATTTTGACCCATGGCATGCCATATTTTAACCAGCATCAGGTTATCTACTATACCAATGTAAATGGAGAATCTCTAATGGTTTTACTGTAAATAGGCTCAGACTATTGCAATGCTGCACAGTTTGATGGGGTGGGAACGTTAAACTGGGCAGATTTCACCATCTAATTTGATTCACATTCTCCATCCTTCACCAGGATACAAAGGCCTATCTATAATTTATTTGAATTAGCACCCTAGAGAGTCCAGTGTGCAGCCCAAGGGCACTTGAATGAAGTTTAAAAGAGCAGCGAGTCATTTGCACTGCAGCAAGGGGCAATGTGCTGACACGCTATGCTTTGTGAATGCTAAAATCCAGAACTACTGAGCTGACCTCACAGGGATTTTCAACAGTTACATCACTGAAGAGGGATAGAAAAATACTGAAAATTTTATCTTTGTGTATTCCAGACAGGCTGCCAATCTGTGCATTAGTGGTGAGGATGCTTCAGTGACTCTCTGCAGGTTACCAGTAGGTGACAACAAGCAATTTATATATTAATTCAACTGATTCGTTCAAACACATTGAATCATTCAGGAACAAAATTAACCTTCTGTCTTTATGAGTGAGTCACTGAATCATTCACTCAACCGATTTGTTCAAAAACAGAATTATTCTGGAACAAAAGGCCACTACTGTGTGTTACTTGGAGATGTGCAAAAGCTGATTCTGCTTTGACTTCCTTTGGAAGTATTTTTGTTGGCAGAGGGAAAATAGATGTTTTCTAGATATACCCTAATCACAGCCTGAGTACACTGTGCATAGGGGAGACAGAGCTAGGTGTCACACATAGAACAAAGGTTTATATTTAAGTAACTATACGTTTTTGGCTCAAATGTCAGATTACATAAACATCTCTTTTGATTTCAACAATCTACAATAAAAATTAATCCACAATTTTATACTATGTAGCAGTTGCTACATAAGGTTTGCGTTACGGCCATTGCTATTTGCCGTTCTTGTCATTGGATTTAAATGGAGCCTCTATCGGTCATGGAGATGGGTACTGTGTTCTCTCGCAAAAACTATTTCGTCCTCTGAGTGAACACAAAGTTGGTGATGAATATAAATATTGAAAAACTATATTTCAATGTTTTTGCGAGCGAACACAAAGGTTCTCAGGGGAATGCAAGACTTTTGTGAGTAAAAAAAATAACATTTTGTGAGGGGATGCAAATTTTTTGCTCTATCTCATATTTTTCCACCATCATGCCCTCTTACAACACAAAACTTCCATTACAGTTTTTCTCGATTGCTAAAGCACTATAACCAGGCTTTTGAACTAAAATTTCAAAACCATAACGCCATTTTTCAAAAAGCACACCCATTTTGCTGAACTATAAACACTATTCCCCTGCTTTAACACATGAGTCAGATTTGGTGAACTGTTACTGCAAAACTCTACACACAAATCCCTACATTTCTCAGTGCTTACACCATGTGGTCATTTAGAAAGCACTAGCATTCAATACTGTTCACTCAAGTCAGCACAGCTTGAGCTCAATTAGCAAACAATTACCCAGGTGGAAACACTAAGAGTCAAAATTGAACACACATCAATCAGATCCTTCAATAAATAGATAAAAGTGCCCGAATCAGTTCATTGAGCTTTGGAACAATGGATCCACAGAGAAATTAAGGAA